TTCAGGAGCGAGAGGGCTGGAGTGGGGGGAGGCGACGACGCGCTCGGGGCGGGCTGTGCCGCGCCTCTCTTCTCCTCAGAGGCCTGGGAGCGAGGCCGCCCCCGACGTGGCTGCCCGCTCCCCCCCAGCTGCTCCGTCCTCCCGGCCTCGGCCCCACAGAAGTGTGGCGCAGTTTGGAGGCGAGGGCTCCGGGTGTGTGTGTGTGTGTGTGTGTGTGTATCTATGTGTGTGTGTGTGTGTGTGTGTGTGTGTATGTGCGTGTGTGAGGTGTGTGGGGGCCTTTTCCGTGATGAGCACCCGCTGGAGCGAATGGGGAGCTAGCGCAGGGATCGGGGTAGGCCAATGGAGGGCCGGCAGGGGCGGGGCCGCGCTTCGGAACAACAGGCCTTAGCGGGGCTTAACTAGTGAGGTGCCGGCTGTGCTGCACGGCCCGGGGCCTGGCCGGCCAGGTCCCTGTGCTCGCTCCCCGTCTTGGCCTTGGCGCCTTTCCTCGGCGGGGCCAGGGTTTCTCTGTCCCCGTGCCAGTGTCGGTCAGGACACGCTCGCGTTTACACCTCACCCGCCGCCCTCTCCACGGTTAACTCCCATTCACTCACTCTTTGGAAAGTCGACCTTGAGTAGGAAATCTCTGTAAAGTAAAAAACACTCAGAAGCTATGGGTCCCACAGAGTCTGGATCTGTAACAACAGCACAGCCTGTAGAGGGACAGCTCGGAGTAGAGGTCCCTCAAGACACCAGCAGCTGCCCAGATCCTCGGGAACGGGTCCACAGACCTGCCCTTCACTGGGAAGGGAAGATGGCCAAGTAAGGCTTGATTCCACCATCAGTATGCCAGTGGGAACTGCGCTTCTCCGCCCAGTCAGAACCGTGAGGATGCGGACAGCCCTGATTTTCTGGGCTCCCAGAAATTTGGCTCCGAGTGGCAGTCTGTCTGTAGTCTCCCGCCTGCTCCCACCAGATTGCCTGCCCCAATTGGTGGCTTTGTTTACAATAGAGATGTGTTTTTGTTTAAGTCTGTGTCTGTCAGCGTGTGGGCCTGTGGATGTGAGAGTGCAGGTGCTCACAGAGGCAGGAGCTAGAGTTGGAAGAAGGTTATGAGTGTTAAATGTAGGTGTTGGGAACAGAACCTGTGTCCTCAGGAAGAGCAGCACTTTGTCTTAACCACTGAGCCACCTCTCCTGTCTGCCACTCCCCAGTCTGATAGACAACATCCCCCCCCCCTTATGTATTCCAGGTCAATATCCAACCCAGCCTACCTACCCTGTGCAGCCTCCTGGGAATCCTGTATATCCTCAGACTGTACATCTTCCTCAGGCTCCGCCCTACACTGATGCTCCACCTGCATACTCAGAGGTATTACAGCAGTCCACCAGACTTTTAACTAGTTGAGAACGCTCTTGAACACCCTTGTTCAGTCTTGATCTCTGACTTCACAAACAGAAGAGTGCTCTGGATAATCTAAAACATAAGTTGGTAGTTACCATTGGAATTAGGTGTGTTATCTGATTATGGTATTTGACACATGCTGAGTTTGGTTCCCTTGAGCCCAACAGTAGCCATGGCAGCACATGTCCCAGGAGACCACTGTGCGTCCGCCAATGACTGTAATCTACACGACACGAATGAAGAACTAAGAATGGACTCATGAGCCAGCAGGTGGTACAGGCTGGTATCTCTAGCACCTGGGAGGCTGAGGCAGGAGGATCCTGCCTTCAGAGCTGTCTTGGGCTATATAACCGAACACTGTCTTCAAAACCAAACAAAAGGCTGGGGATGTATAGTTGATTTGTTGGAGTGCTTGCTTAGCATGCACTAAGCCCTGGATTTGATCCCAGCACTATGTAAACTGGGTGAGGATGAGGGGGATCAGGAGTTTAAGGTCATCCTCCACTACAGAGTTAAAGGTACAGGAGATGGTTCAACAAGACACAATAGAGATTTCAAATAGGAATGTCACATAATAACGTGTTGCCATCTCTTCTGCTTCTTTTAGCTCTATCGTCCAAGCTTTGTTCATCCAGGGGCTGCCACGGTCCCCACCATGTCAGCTGCATTCCCTGGCGCTTCTCTGTATCTGCCTATGGCCCAGTCTGTGGCTGTTGGGCCTTTAGGCTCCACAATCCCCATGGCTTACTATCCAGTTGGTCCCATCTATCCACCTGGCTCAGCAGTGCTGGTGGAAGGAGGGTATGATGCAGGTGCCAGATTTGGAGCTGGCGCTGCTGCCGGCAACATTCCTGTGAGTATGGCCTAACTAGAAGCTCAGCCCTTGTATACTTGAAGTTTTTGAAATATTCATTCTGTCACCATCTCTGGATAGTAGTGATCAGGGTTGACACAACAGTGCTACCTCATGGGCAGAAAGTGGATGAGGGCAGAAATGTGGCCAGTGAGGGCATAAGACACATCCTTTGTTTTTTTTTAATTAATTATTCATTTGTTTTGCACACCTTTAATATTTGCACTCAGGAGGCAGGTGGATCTCTGAGTTCAGGGTCATCCTGGTCTACAGAATGAGTTCTAGGACAGCGCTACACAGAGAAACCCTGTCTTGAAAATAAAACAAAAAACAAAACACTGCTAGGTCCTTTTTCATTGATGTGTGCATAGTGAATGCTCCCTATTGAGTCCATACACACTTAATATCTGCCATGAGGGTGAAATGGACTAGGTAACCAGTTGATTAAAAGAGAATGTATAGTCCCTAGTAAGTAGATATTAGTTGCCAGGTGCCCCTGCTCAAAGCTCCAGTATATGGGGTTCTAGCAAAGGCCATTTTGTCAAAGCCACATTTTAAAGTGGGGTGGTGTGTGTTGTCACTGGCTCTTAAGTATTACAGTGTTGTGTTACAAATCTGAAGTTGCTGGTAGAGCATATATCTAGACGTATAGAGTGCTCTCCCTCTTCTCATGAACAAAAGCATAGCCCACTAGAGATCCCACGGGCTGTCTTTGGCTGCTTTGCAAACGTGGGGTGGAGCGGTTCTCCCGAGAAGGATGGGTCTGTTTGGTGTTGGCAGGCTGCATCTTAGGGTCAGAACACTGGTGAGTGACAGGTTCCTTTCTTGACTGTCTGGAATCACAGGCAGTGACTTGCTCTAGAACTCAAGCTATCACAGAGTTAACTTCTTAAAATGCTGGTTACTCAGTGTGGTGGCCTGTAATCCTACAGTGGGGGCTAAGGCAGGGGTCAGCTTGGGCTACACAGCAAGAAGCAGGCAAGCCAGGGTTACACAGTGAGACCCTAGTTCATCCCACCCTACCCCCTGCAAAAGAAAAAAAAAGTTACCAGTTGGCACATCACCACCTTCCAGAGGCATCTGCTTCCCATGTGTTCCTTCCCTGTGCCCACTGTACCTTGTCCTTTCTTTCCTTCTAGCCTCCACCTCCTGGATGCCCTCCCAACGCTGCTCAGCTTGCAGTCATGCAGGGAGCCAACGTCCTTGTAACTCAGCGCAAGGGAAACTTCTTCATGGGTGGCTCAGATGGTGGCTACACCATTTGGTGAAGAACCGTGGCCACTCCTGTGCCGGGAAAGACATCACATACCTTCAGCACTTCTCACAATGTAACTGCTTTAGTCATATTAACCTGAAGTTGCAGTTTAGACACATGTTTTTGGGGTGTCTTTCTGGTGTCCAAACTTTGAGGCACTTTTCAAATTGAATAAGGAACCTTGTAAGGGTAGCAGTCCCTCCCTAAAGCATTTTGAGACAGGGAGGTATCCATTCTTTAAATGAATGTGAGTGAAGCAGCCCTGAGGCTCTTCCTTAATTCTTCTGGAGTGATACTGTACCATACTGGTCTTCGCTTTTAGTAATAAAACATCAAATTAGGTTTGGAGGGAACTTTGATCTTCCTAAGAATTAAAGTTGCCAAATTATTCTGATTGGTCTTTAATCTCTTTTAAGTCTTTGATTTATAGTAGTTGTTAAATGAAATGCATTAGCTGTCTGCCTTTTCCTTCCCGTCATCTGCCCCACCGGCCTGCCCTGTCGTCTTCCATACCCTCCCTTCAGTCTCCATTGAATCAGTGGTGCAGGACAGAAAGCCAGTCACTCAGCCCCCTTCTCATCTTGCACCTGTCCCACTTGCCATTTTTTAACTTGTCTTTCCTAAGGATCCTCTAAAGCCCACCTGTGCTCCGAGCACAGACCCCATTTATTTGGGTTTCGTATATATCCAGGAGAAGGTGAAGGACCTTTTGGACCCACCTCATAGACTGTCTCTGCATCACCATGAACCCAGACTTGCTGTGGTGCCAGAACATGAACTTAAACAACAGTTCTCAGTGAAAACTGTCTCAGAAAGTTTCTTTAAAATGACAGGCAGAGAAGATGCATATTAAAAGCTTGGCTTTAAAGCCAAATTAAGGGGCGTTTCAGATCAAAACCTGGTTTTCATTTTCTGAGTGTCAGGTGCAGCCTCTTGGGTGCCAGGAGTTTCCTGTGATGGATTAGTTAGTAGGGTCATGTGAATGCCTCACTATGAAATGACTTGAGTCCAGTGAGATCTCATTAGGATTAATATTTCAGGGATCCTTAATATTTTGATTTGTTTTCCAAGATTGGATTTTATTTTATTTTATCTGATATTTCAGTTCATCTAAATCTTGTGTTCTGTACATGTGATGTTTGACTGTACCATCGACTGTTATGGAAGTTAAGCGTTGTATGTCTCTCTACACTGTGGTGCACTTAACTTGTGGATTTTTTATACTAAAAATGTAGAATAAAGACTATTTTGAAGATTTGAATAAAGTGATGAAGTTGCATTACACCACACTCTAGGCATTCTTTACTTAGCATGTGTTCACATGTCTTATATGTCAGGTCTTTTATATCCCACCCAGAAATGAGCTAGGTGTTTCTGTTGCTATTTCTTTACTGTGAAACAAATGTAGATATGCAAGGCTAGGTTTTCAGTTCTCATGAGCTCCGCTAGAGGTGATTCTGGGATCCAAGACATGAATTTAGACATGAAGCAGTGATGCTGGTCATGTTGGTGCTCAACTTTAATCCCAGTAGTGGGGAGGCAGAGCCAAGTGGCCCCTGTGAGTTTAAAGCCACTCTAGTCCAGGCAGTAAGTTCTCACTTCCTCTAAGGTTTTCCTCAAGGAAAAGATCTTAATATAGCAGTCTGTATGCAAAGTAAAATGTGGAGAAATACTGAAAACAAGCTGGCCAATCCCATGACTTTAGAGACAGGAAAGAGGTCGGCCTGGGATAACTAGCAAGACCATGTCTCAAAAAAAAAAACCCAAAAAGCAAAACCAACCGACCAATGCACTGAAGCTTCTGGACTCTACACTGCTAATCTTGGGCAAGAGTTTAATACCTCAGAATGAAGGCTAGCTTAATTGTAGAGTATCCAAGGGATTTGGGATGAAAAGAGCCTGGACAGGCAGTGGTGGTGCACATCATTTAATCCCAGCACTTGGGAGGCAGAGGCAGGCAGATCTCTCTGAGTTTGAGACCAGACTGGTCTACAGAGTGAATTCCAGGACAGCCAGGATACCCCTGTCTTGAGAAAGAAAGAAAAAAGCCTTATTGGTGGGAAATTTGGGTGGCCAGGTTTTTCCTGGCTCCCTCTGTTATATACACAGGATTCTGGGAAATTGTGGCCTTTGCCTGGATTAAGGTCAAATCCACTTGGTTCTCATGTGTTTCTGATGGGACAGTTGATGCTTCTCTGGGACAAACCCCTGAGACAGTTCTGTGGGGACTTCAGAACTTCTCTCAAGAATTCTTAATGAGAGACAACACATGTAGAAGAGTTACATAAGCAGAGATAATGCTATAAAACGTTTAAACAAAAAACAAGGCAAAATTTAATTCTTGTAAATGAAAATCTTGACTTTCATAGGTTTAATCTGGATAAAAAACTGTAAATTTGAGTTGGCTGGGGGAAATTGTAGGACTCAGATCAAAGGAGCTAACATTGAGAAGTCTATCCCTCCTGGCCTGATCCTTTCCTGTGTTATCTAGCCTCTAGGAAGCTACACTGAGGCTATCACTAGGCAACTAGGGAGGGGACAAAGTGGACCAGCCTGTGACCTCCTTCCACCAACTCTTCCTTCCAACTCAGGCACAGCCCCACGTTGTTGGCCAGGTGTGAACACTATCCTTACCAAGGCCCGGCTATAGGTGTCATAAGCAGCTTTCTCTGTGTCCCTGGACCCTGGAGTCGCTGATGCTGGTATTGGGGACTGTGTCCTGTGATGTGAGTAGATTTGCCATCTCACTCAATGCCATTCACTGGCTTCAGAGCAAACGTTCCCTAATTAGAGTCAGTGTGTTAGCGCTGGAGCCAAGAATCGGGCCCTCCAGTCTGGGGATCATTAGATGAAGTACTCTTCCTTCTCTCTGCCCTTGGCTGAGTCACTCTCCATCTGGAGGATGGTGCTGGGCTCGCCTTCTGCAGGCTCGTAGGTGACGTAGCTGCCTTTGTTCTTGTACAGGTAAAAGAAGATCAAGGTCACCACGGAGAGCAGGGTGAGGAACACCACAGTGATAACAACTAGGCAAGGAGAGAGAGACATGTTTTAGCTCTTCACTAGGCCACTTGAATTAGGCTAGCACTTCCAGTGGGGTCCCCTCAAACCCAGCTGCCCTAGGACATGGCATCCAGACCCTCTTGGTATCTAGCTACCGATACAGTGTTTGGATTTCTGACAGAATTCAACTCCCTCCCATCAACTTCCTGATGATCATGCTAGAAACTAGGAGGGAAATAAATAGCTTATGCCAACAGGAAGGGTGTTTTAAATACATAGCTTCCTATGAGAGTTTCTCTGGTTTGCCCCGCTCTTCCTCACCCACTCAACAAACCACATGTACCCTCCTTCCAACCCACGCACTCCAGCTGAGCATCCATCCTTGCCAGGGCTTATTCATGGCCACTCCAACTTATGGCCACTTCCAACCTATGGCCACTCCTAACCTATGGCTACTCCCAGCCTATGGCCACTCCCAATCTACTGGTTTATTGGTCATGCCTACATTGCTCACAGCTCAGCAAGGAAATCAGTAATGGAGTTGGTCCCTGATGTCCTGTTAACTGTATGGGGACACCCTTTGCTGTCACTCTGGGTTCCAGGATCTCTGAGCCAGAGGCCCCTGGCTTTGTTACCTGCAATGAGTGCTGTGCTGGCCTCTTCAGCTTGTGGGGACAGGGTCTCCTGGACCTGAAGAACTGGTGTGGTCATCAGTTCTGGGAAGTTGAAGGGGGAGAAGGAAACGGTGAGTCCTTAGTCCTTGTCATTCAGTCACTTTACCATCCCTGTTCAAAGCTCAACTAGTCTTGGAGAGATGGCTCAATGTTTAACAGCACTGGCTGCTCTTCCAGGGGACCTAGATTTCATTCCTAGCACCCACACGGTGGTTTTCCATCATCTGTAACTCTAGTTCAAGAGGATCTGAACTTCCAGCCTCTGGGCACCAAGCACATACATACAAAACATTCATATGCATAAAATAAAGCTTTAAAAAAAAAGTTCATCAACCAGTGTCTATTGTAACTCCAAACAGAAAATCCTGGAACACAGAGATGAAAACAAACCATTTCCAAAAGACAACATTTTTGATGAATTTTTCTCTGCCCAATACAATGGTTAAAAACAGGGGCTTGAGCTGGGTGTAGTGGTATACACCTTTAGTCCCAGCACTTGGGAGACAGAGGCAAGTGGATCTCTGTGAGTTCAAGGCCAGCCTGGTCTACAGATTGAATTCTAGGACAGCTAGGGCTATAGAGTGAGTCTTGGATCTTAAAAGAAAAAATAGGAGAAGGGGTTAATTTTTGCTAGGTGTGGTCACACGTCTGTAATCCTAGCACTCGGGGCTGAGAACAATTATTCTAGGTCCTCCTATGGCACACAAGAGTTCCAGGCTAGCCTGACCTGTACAGGGAGATTCTGTCTCAAATACAAAACAAATAAGAGAGCAGGGGCCTTTGAGCCTGGGCTGATTGACTTTCAAATGTGACCTCTGTCCTTTACAAGCTGTACACCCATGGGTAAAAACATCACCTAACCTCTGCCAGTATCAGTCACTTCGGATGCTAACAGGCGCTAAAGTACCTAATTTATAGGGCTGTGACACAGTGATGCAAGGGTCACTATAAAGAATGCATCAAATGTTGAGTGTGTGTATGCACTCAACCTGGAGTAGGGTGCTTATGGTCCCATCTCCGCCCTACATAACTGTTATAAACATTATTACAAATAATAATATAATACCCTGCCCCCAAACTTTTCACTGTGGAATGTTACTTTAACTATGTAAAGGTGTATTACATTTGTTTAACTATGTAAAGATGTCTTGCTGTTTCACCTTGCCTGCCTAAGGCACCTGACCGGTCTAATGAAAAAGCTTAATAGCCAATAGTTAGGCAGCAGAGGGATAGGTGGGGCTGGTTGGCAGAGAGAAAAAATAGGAGCAGAAATCTAAGCTGGAAGGAAGAGAATGAGAGGAAAGAATAAGGCAGAAAGAAAGGGCGATGCCTGAGGCCAACAGTCAGCTGCCAGCCAGCAAGACAGAGTAGGACGTACAGAATGAAAAAAAGGTAAAAAAGCCCCGAGGCAAAATGTAGATGAAGATAAACATGTTAAAGTAAGTTATAAGAGCCAGTGGGACAAACATAAGATAAGGCTGAACATTCATAACTAATATTAAATCTCCTTGTATTTGGGAACTGGTTGGTGGCCCCAAAGCAAGCCTGCTACACCTTTTACTTCTAGGATACGCTCTGCACTTTAACAGGCTTGGAACAGGGTACCAGCAGGGACTGATCTGGTGTTCCTACCAGGGGCAACTTCCAAGGAAGCAACATTTGATAGCTAGCACCCGGATTGGGACTGGAAGTGGCTCTCAGGGGAGCCCAGGTCAAAGGAACAGCAGGTGGGAACAGGATTCCTGTTAGGGCCTGATGGGGCACCACTGTGCACTGTTATAAACGGGTGAAGCGACATCAGCTGCTATGAGCTGGGGCAAAAACAGGTCAAGAGTATTGAGAGCTCTTTTTTTCACAGAGGCCAACAAGAGTTTCATGAATTGCCCTTGGTCCCATAACAGAAAAGCAGGCAGAGATGTGCTGCTGAGGGTGCCTTCCAGTCCCTAGACCAGGCCAATCCAAGGTGGGGGGCCCAGGTGGAATAAGACAGGGTAGGGTCTCTCTTCAAAGCCCTGGCTGCCCTGGAACTCACTATGGACAGGGCTGGCCTTGAACTCACTGAGATCAGCCAAATTTATGAGAGGTCAGAAGACAACTTGAGGGAGGTGTCTACCCAGTCCTGTGTTTCCTGTAATCCTCTCATTTCCAGTGTGATTTCAAAATGTGAGTCATTTACAAAACAAATGTACTTTCAAGCTTCCTAGCAGAAATGTCCAGGTTAGAAGATGCCAGAGATGGGAAGAAAAGAGTCAGGAAGCTCCACGCAGCTCAGGGAGGCAGGCAGATTACAAGGATAGTCTCAAAAGTGTTGTATTTGGAATAGGCAAGGGGAGGGGTGTAGGGCCTAGGTGTGGACTTGAAGGTATGGCGTCTGTCTCTGACTCCAAATAGAGAATGGCTTTTTCAGCAGCAGGAGTCACAGGAAATGAGGAAGTGGGGGGCTCAAGGGAAGTTGAGCTGGGCGTGGTGGCACATAGAGTAGTAATTCCAGCCACTGGGAGGAGGTCTGTGAGACGGTTTGAGGCCAGTGTGGGCTATATAATGAGGCCTTGTCTCCAAATCAGGAAGAAGAGAAGGGAAATGGCTCAGGAAGCACAAATACAAAAGAACGAATGATAGCCAGAGGCACTTAGAGAACTAGTAACCGATCTCTGTCTCTGATGCAGGGGTCCTGAGAGACGCCTGTACACACACAGGCTGCAAACCGGTCAGGCTTGATGGGATCAAGTCAGTAAGGCCTGCTTGGGGGTGTTGAATTGGAGGCAGCAAACACTATGAGTCAGGATGGAGACCCTAGGAGGAAGCTCTTACAGACTTCTTGTGTTCAGATTCCAGGCTGATAGAGAAGTTTAAAAAATTAAGCTAGGAGTGGTGAGGCACAATTATAATCCAGGGTGAAACAGAATGATTGACATTAGCTCAAGGTCAGAGAGGCTCCACAGAGAAGTTCTGTCTCGATGCCCAAATGTCAGCCCAATAGCCAGGAGTAGTGAGTGATGCACATCTTTAATTCCAGAACTCAGGAGGCAGCAGAGCCACATATAATGAAAATGCCTCAAAAATAAACAATATTTAAAAGTTAATTCAGTAAGTACTGAGTGTGTTCCCTGTGCTATGTTCTGGTCATGGATCAATGAACAAAATGGGCAAAACGTACTAAACCTACAAATCCCTGCGGAGCCAGTGAGATGCTTGGTGGGTGAAGGTGCTTGCTGCTGCACAGTGATAGAAATCTGATGGCCAGTCTTTGATTTCTGGAACATGCATAAAAAGGCAGAAAAGAACTGATTCCACAAAGTTGTCCTCTGACCTCCACAGGTGTTCCTGGCACATGTGCCCACAGACACTCATCATACGCACACATACACATACAATTAAGGTTTTGAAAAATGAAAATAAAATAAATCCATTGAAGTACCAGTACTTAGAAAATGAAGGCAGGAAGATTGAGAGTTCAAAACCAGTTTGGGCTATACAGCAAAACTGTTTCAAAACAAACAAAACAAAACAAAACAAAAAAAAAAAAAAACAGAAACAAATAAGGATAACAACAAAATCCACCTCCAAACCACCTTCACAGGTTTCCTAAATTTAAAAAAGAGCGCCGGTATGCAGTCTGGCTTCTGAGTATACTCTTAAGGGGACCAATTGAATTATGTCACCGGAAGCAGCGCTTCTGAATCCCAAGGGGAAGAAATCTCAATGTCCATCAGCAAACAGATAAACAAAACGAAGCAAACACAGACCTGGAGTTTTATTCCATCTCAAAAAATGAAGGAAGTCTTGGAGTGAAAAGCTCTGTGCTTAAGAGCACTTGTTACTTTTGCTGGGGACCAGGGCTTAATTCCCAGCACTCACATGGTGGCTCACAACCGCCTGCAACTCTGGCTCTGGCTTCTGAAAGGCCCACATACATAAACTAGAAGTAAAGGAAGGAGGAGGGGAATTCTGATGTGTGGTACAATACAGATGAACTTGGAGGACGTGTTAAATAAGCCAGGCACAAAGGACCAACACTGGGCACGTCTGGAAGTGCACAGACTTTAATCCCAGCACGCAGGAGGCAGAGGGATCTCAGAGATAGAGGCCACCCTGGTCTACACAGAGTCCAGAGCACCAGGGCTACACACTGGGCCCCTTTTTGTTTTAAACACAAACACTGTATGATTGCATTCATATTGATTACCGATGACCTAGAATAATCAAATTTGAGAGGCAGGGAGTCAGAACATTTAAAGGTAGAGTTTAGGATGTTGAAAAATGTTCATGTTAAATGTCCTTAAATGGCATAGACTCTTCAGTTAACACGGGGCTGAGGACAGAGTGCTCGCCCAGTGTGCATGGCTCTGTGTGCAATTCTCAGCAACACACAGTACATTTTGTTAATACAATTTTTAAAACCTTTAAACATAGTTTAAAAACCCTCTCTTCAGGGCCAGGTGGTGGTGGTGGCGCATGCCTTTTGTCCCAGCACCTGGGAGGCAGAGGCAGGTGGATCTCTGTGAGTTCAAGGCCAGCCTGGTCTACAGAGCAAGTTCTAGTTCAGCCAGGGCTATACAAAGAAACACTGTCTTGAAACAAAACAAAACAAAACAAAACAAAAACCAACCAAAAAACCCCTCTCTTCATAAAATGTGTGTACTGTCTGTAAGTCTATACACACTATGTGCATGCCTGGCCCTCAGGGAGGCCTGAAGACTGTTGGATCTCCCAGAGACTAGAGTTACAGAAGGCTGAGAGCCTCCATGTGGGAGAATTGAACCCAGGTCCTTTAGAAGGGCAGCCAGTGCTCCTCTTAACAACTATGCCATCTCTCTAGTCCCCTTCTATCACTTAAAGAGAGGATGGTCTATAGCCTGGGCTGGTTAAAAATGTGTGATTCTCCTGCCAGCACAGTCTGCAAAGGTGGTGCTCTGAGAAGCTCCCCCACCCACCCAATGTGTAGATCATAAGGGAGAACCACAGTGGGAGGATCACAGAGGGATGCTTTGTAAAGAGCAGGTGAGCCAATGGGATTGGGGAAAGAGACAACACCCTAAAGA